TAGTAGTAATAATAATAATCATAATATGAATAATAGTAGTAATTTAAAGCAGTAATAGTAGCAATAGTAGTAATAGTAGTTTGTGGTAGTAGTCGTAGCAGCAGCAGCAGCAGCAGCAGCAGCAGTAGCAGTAGGAGTAGTAGCGTAGCAGCAGCAGCAGCAGCAGCAGCAGCAGCAGCAGTAGTCGGCGTCGTCGCCGTCGGTGCTGCAACAGCAGAAGGAGTCTACTTAGTGGCGAGTAAGAGCAGTCGTAGTGGTAGAGGTGGTGGTAGAGGTGGTGGCAGAGGTTGTAGTGTCAGCCATTGTTGCAAAGCATTGCAAACTTGTAGTTGCACGTACTAGTCGTGCTCTCGTTGCCACCAGCCTCCGGATAGACATCAACCGACTTCCCTGCTAGCCGCAGCCTTGCTCTCTCTGTGGGCGCTTTTATGGCTTTCAACCCACATACAGAGGGTCAGAAGCTTCGGGGCTTAAGTCTAAGCTGTTCACTTGCTGCTACTGCCTCGTTCGGCTCAGACTTCCCACTGGCATGTGGGGCCTTGCGCATGCTGCAATGCATCCCCGTCGGGGCGCTACTGACGCCAGCTTCAAAACATTGAGCGAGGTTTGCGAGCTACTTATGATTCTCCGAACGTCGTCACAGAGAATCGGCACATCAAACTTTGCAATAGGTCCGGAAGTCTCGACAAAACTGATGAGACACGCTCGACGGTGTTATCGAAGGGTGTGAGGTTCCTGAGGTCCTGCATTGCCCGCCTTCTGACATTTTGTCTTTACGGGGAAGTGCAGGAAGAACACCCAAACAACTCGACTCTCGAAGAATCCATGTCGCTTTAGGTGTTGGCGCTCTACTACGGATCTCCCGATGCACTCTCCATGCAGGGGACGGAACCGCAAATAAAGTCCGAAAGAACCGGAGACCGCTTCATCGGAAATTGACTCCTTCGGCAGCGGCCCAAACAGCAAGGAACCCCAGACCTGAGCCTTCCACCAAACCAGAGAAAGGCCCTATAGGTTCTTTCCCTCCCACTTGGCAAGGACGAGCCCGCAGGGTTTAGGGTTTAGGGTACCCATCGGGTAAACTTCATAAACCCTTGGCCCATAAAAACCCAAAGCCCAAAGCCCGATGCCCAAGCCCAAACCCCGAGACCCCCCTTCACCCCTAATGTGGGGGCCAATAATTAGATATATGAATATTAAAATGAAAGGAACCCCCAAAACAGTGTAGGTAATTGCTAAGGCCCCTATATTAAGCCGACAGGCCCCAAAAAATTAGGAACCCGAAAAGCTCCAAGCAGAACGCTGAGAAGGAGACCGACGAGCCACATTCATGGCCTCTTTAAGACTCATGGAGCCCCCCATGGAGGCCCTTTAAGAGAGAAACAAACCCGCAAAAACTTCCGATAGCCATATTGAGGAGGAGCCCTTCACCTCCGGGAGATAAGGGGCCATCATGATTTTCTGAGGTGACGCCTTGGGATTCTGTGGCCTCGGGTTTTCTGACGCTCCATGTAGGAACAAGGCCTATGGGCCTTCGAGCAACACACCCGACATGGGAGTTTCGGATGGGGAGCCGGATGTAGAACCCTAAAGGATAAAACAATACCACTAGTGTTTGGAGGTCCCGCTTGTCCTCAAAGCACAGCCGGCTTGGTGAGCGGAGTCTAAGGCCTCGGGTGTCCTTCGAACCCTTCGGGGGGATGACAGGGCACTCATCACCACAAGGCTCGGCTCTCAAGTGTTGATCCTCTGGGCTCGCCTTTCCCATCATGTCCGCGTTGTAGGCTGCCACCACCATGTCCACAGAGGGGGGCAGATCGGGCAGCACCTGCCGGGAGAAGGTGTGAGGCTTGGGGTTTCCTACTGGACTCCCCACTGGCCTTGCCAACTGGAGCTACTGAGTGAGACATGGAGTTGGTGCCATCACCGTAACATGCCGCGACCTGTCCTAACTGGACAGCGAGGCGACAGCAAGCCTAACTTGATGAAGCCAGTGCGCGGTGCGCCGTCAATTCTTTCTGTCCCTGCTGGCGTGGCGTGGCACATGGTATCGGGGTATGGAAGGTAAAGGTAGGAAAGGAAAGGACAAACAGCAGCTTGCCCTTCTGGAAGCTAGGCAGGCCAAACCAAACTCGAAAAGTCAGCTTCATAGCTTGGCAGCATCAAGACCATTCATCGGATGGGTGTTCGGGAACTTATAAGCTTGCAAGAAGTGGCCACCACGCTGTAAAACTGTGATGCAAAAGAGCAGGTTGAAAATTCTGCAGTGCAGTGCACAGCCTGCTTCATCCTTTTCAGGACACTCTGTACCTCAAATCTTAATGCCTTGCTCCGGCTCAAACTTGGCCCCGAGCTCACTCAACTTTTTGTGGGCCTTCGCATAGTCCTTGAAGAAGGCGTCCTGATCCTTCGCATAGATGTCGAAGTACTTCTTGAACTCCGGGTCCGTGTGAAGAGCCTCATCGGTTGGGAACCACAGGAGGTTCTCATCCTCGGAGGCCAGCTTGTAGTCTTTGAAGTAACTGTTGTCGAAGGTCAGCCAGTTCTTCGTCCAAGCCGCACCGCCAACCATTCCAACACCTTTCTGGCCATCCTTCCGTGCTAAGCAATCGGACTTGGTGTACTTCGATGCCCCCTGCTCACCATAGCCGAAAGGGCAGGCGCCGCTGCGCTCCTTGAAGGCGCGGCCGATGGTGTGGGCACCAGAGAGTGCGACGATCTCCTGATCTGTGAAGCCCATCTTCTTGGTGAAAACATTCCGAAGATGCTGTGCTGCCGTCGGTGCCCCGCAACCGAAGGGAGGCTTGGCATCGGGAAGCCCCGCGTTCCCCGAGAAGCCCTCCCTGGACCCTGACTTCACACACTCGCTGTCGGAGGTGACTGCCACTCGGCCGTACTTCATGTCAATGGCAGGGCCACCGGCACATTCAATGGCAACGGCGGATGCCAACTGGATGAGGTCAGCCCAGGAAATTTCGGGATACTTCTTCGCGAACTCGTCGAGAAACCCTTTGGCTTTGTCGAGGCCGGCATTCGCACCGAAGTTCATCTCTCCTGCAAACCTGATTGCACCGTTGGCGCCGCCCCTCTCCGGGAAGTTCTTGATGCGCTGATCATAGGTACCAGAGTCATGCCACGCCAAGCGAACCATGATCGGATGACAGTTTTTGCCGTCGATGAACTTCTTGAGGTCCTGTTTGCAGGCACGCAACTGCGAGACCTTCTTGCTGCCAAGCATGCCGAAGCAACCATCGGAGCAGGCGTTTCCCATGACGGCGGCACGGAGTTCCGAGGAGCGGGTATGTGGGCGCGACGGATGGGCGGGCCGAAACGGCTCGAGATTCAGGACACGATGCTCAATATACCATGTGCACTACATAACACGCGAAATAGAGAAGGAATGAATGAATGGAAGGATGGATGGATGGCTGGCTGGCTGGCTGGATGAATGGATGAACGGATGGATGGAGGGATGAATGGATGAATGGGATGAACGGATGCATGGGATGAATGGATGCATGAGTGAGTGAGTGAGTGAAGGAAGGAAGGAAGGAAGGAAGGAAGGCAGGAAGGAAGGAAAGAAAGAAGGAAACGAGCGGAAGCATACAAACACGATTTTAAATGCATGAATGAATTTATGAACGATGGAAGGAAGGAATGAAGAAATTGACGGATTGAAAGAGATAATGAATAAAGAAGGAAAGAAATCCATGATGAACGCCACAATGAATGGATGGAGGAAAGAAGGATGGACAAATGGAAGGATGGAATGAATGACGGAGGGAAGGAAGCAAGGGATTAGTGGATGCATGGATTAAAAGTTAAAAGGGATGAACCGATGCATGGATTTAATGCAATGAATGGGTTGAGTGGAATGAATGTAAGGAAAGGATGAATGGGAGGCGTGGGGTGAATGGCTTGCATGAAACGAACGGAATCAATGGAAGGAATGGAATGGAGGAACGAGCGGAATCAGTGGAGCAAGGCCTGCATGCATTCATGCATGAATGAATGAATGACTAGCAGTGACCAGCTCTCAATCCTGGCTGGCTGTGGGCCTTCCGTTCCTGCAGAAGCTCCATGACTACCTGGAGTTGAGCTGCTCTCCGTCGAGACTCTTACAGCGGAAGAAGACAATGCTACGAAGAATCATATGGGTAGTTGTCAGAACTCGGCACCCCCCCTTCGGGCTCCCAAACTCGAGGGTGCCGTAATTTTGGCAGTTACCCTTTCTACAGATGTCACTACTCGTTGGTGCCAGTCTCATCGGTTCAACGGCACGGCTTGTCGTGGAGTCATAGCAGCGGACCTAATGCATGATACGGACCTGCGACAAGACAGTCTGGGGTCTTTGGCCCTCCTACTTAGCAAGGACGAGCGCATTATCTGGGGTTTAAGACGTAAGGTTTCAGCTAGGGTTTAGGGTATCCCCACACTTGGTCCTGGACACGCGAGGCGTGGCCGAAGCTGAAAATCCAACAAGACGAACGAGTCACGGCCTCACTAAAATCAGAAGGGCCTTGTCGGTTGAGTTCAGACGCCAGGATTCTGGCAGATGCTCGCACACCTGTGTTTCGTGCCTCTTGAAGTCTAGACTTGGCAAACACCCTACAGCATGCGAAGCTTGGTACGACCCTGAACTCTCTTGCCGCGGGACGCAGTCGCCGAAGCCGAAGCCCACACAAGGCACTTCCTGCCCGGTGGCTTTTGCTTTGGATACTGCGGTGCTGGAATGGGGTGGTTTGGGAGCTCAGGTCTCACATCAGCTCCACGATTTTGAGGATTTGTAGATTTAGTTTTTGTAAGGCATGTTGTTCTTGATGGAATTCAGAGTTTAGGCTTGGAAGGCTTTGGGGTTTCAATGCGCCGCCAGCTTCGCGGCGCCGGGTTCAACTCAGCGAAGCCAAAGCCACCCGCAATGCAGTGCGATTTCGGACTGATAGAAAGGATGCCTCTGGATTGCAGAATTGCTCAACATCTTGTTGTGCCCTGGTCGTCATTGCTCTGCCACGACTTCGGCCATCTATCGCAGCTTGCTCTGGCATGCTTGGCTCCTCGAACTATCGCTTGGTTCCTCTAAGCAAAAATCCCAGTCGTCATTATTCCATGACACTAAGAGCCGAGACCAAGCTGTGACGTCCCAAGATCATCCGAAGCGCACAACACTTACGGAACCTGGGTGAGTTAGGGTTGAGTCAAACCACATCCAGCAAGAATCAACACGCGGGATCCATGGGCTGGCAGCACCGCAATCCTTCTTGGAACCGTAGAGCTCGAGCCTGAGCCAGTATGGGATTTCGTGTGATTACGTGGTTAAGCAGCGCGGAACAAATGGCACACTTCATGGCAAGTGACACACATGGCATGCCGTGTGTTTGAAGTTCGTCCAAGGTACAGCTGGAAAAGCTCAACATGACATCAAGAACTGCGCACTGTCCTTTTAGTCGAACCCCACGTGGTCCAAGTCGGGGTTTGCGGCTCCTCGAGGTGCAAGTCACCGATGGCAGGGTCGAACCCGCAAGAAACAGAAGTACAGGCTGCTCCTTTAGAAGCACCCAAGAGTGACAAGTTGCAACCCCTTGCTTATCGAGGTGAACCTTGCGACAGCAACGGTGGCTTTACTGATGCAATGCTTGAAGCCGTGATGCCTGAACAACTGGATGGAAGCGGGCTGTCTGGGGTTGCATCAGCAAAAACAAACAGTTGTTGGGCAGCTCTCTCGACATCGCTGCTTAGGATAGGCGGCGAGTATGCATGTTTAGCAAAGACGACATATTCAAAAAAAATACTAACAGGCGACCTTGACGTCACACACGACGTCACGCCAGCTGCCGAATGTGGTTTCAGGGACTCGGATTCCAGGAGATTCCCTCCTGAGCCTCGATGATCCCTGACCCACCTGTTCTTGAAGGTTCACACTACTGTTTTTGATGATCTAAATCCTGCAGTACTTTAAGGACCCTAACCTATGGGAATTATGGCATATTGCTTATTATGGGTAATGCAGAATTTATATCATCAACCGTTTTTTGCTTTGACCCTATAGCTGCTATACCTACAGCTAGAAGTACCGCATGAACCTTCAAGCACACCATTGTACAACGGAGTCGTGCCAAGAGCATATCACAGTCACACCGCGCAGACTCTCAAAGGCCCCATGCTGCCTTCTACTTGCTTTTCATGCAGGCTCAGACCTATGTGAGCAGCGGGGCGATTCTTGGCAGAGTGACTGCAAAAAAGCGTGGTTGTGGAGGCGACTCCGAGCCATCGTGAGCCGTGGACAAACATGTAGCGTACCTGCCGGTATTTTTGCAATAAAGAACAAGCAGCAACCTCCACAGGCAAGAACTTGTGCAAATTGTAGAATCTTGCAGAAAATGTTGGCTTCTCGCTGAGCGCAGCTGCGTTCGCTGCAGCTCGAGCTGCACTTCGGATGATGTGCTGCCTTTGGCAGTCTTTCATAGAGACATTGCGAAGCAAGCTCAGGTGGGGGCGATCAGATTGCATGGACTTCCTTCGGCAACCCGAGAACATCGCCCTCCTTTTTGAAAAACCGAGGCTGGCATTCGACGGTCTCTTCAGGCCTCACGGCCGGAGCAACGACTTGCTGCTCTCTTCAGCCACGGTCGGCCCCACGTGTGCTCTTTTTGTCACTAGCGCTCGCAGGCTTAGCTGTAGCCTCCACTGTCTGCAAGACCTTGTCGATGCCCATCTCAAAGCGGATCATGTTCTCGGTCATGGAGTTCTGGATCTCGGAGACTTTCGCATCCAAAGCGCCGGTGACGTGCGATTGGTTGTCTTTCAAAGGCGTCAGCTCCTTGCGCAGGGCTTCGCTCACTTGTGTCAGGCTCTCTTGCGAGCTCTCACGCTGTTGTTGAGTCAACGCCATCGCCAAGGCGGCCAGCTCTTGACGAATACTTTCGGTGATTTCGGCCTGGTTACCGCCGGTGCTGGAGTTCGCGGCGGTGGCGGTCTCCATGCGCGCGGCACTCTCCTCCAAGCGCGCCACCATGTTGTGGACAGCATCTTTGAAGGAGCTGCCACTGCCCCCATCTTCCCCATCGCCCAAGAAGGCATCCTGCATCTTGCTCATCTGCTTCATGATCACATCACGGATTTGCATCTCCATGTTCGCGGCGGAATCACGCATGATCTCCGTGCGTGTGAAGCTTTGCAGGGACTCAGCACTCGTGTGCATTGTTTCCTGCGCTTGAGTCAACAGATCCAGGATCATCATGTTCTGGCGGCGGACATCTGACATGCGCTCCTCCTGTGCGTTTGCTGACTTCTCAGTGGCATCGACCATGGCGTTGCCTTGCTCCGCAAGAGTAGCCAAATCGGTTCGGAGGGAGGTGAGGATTTTGTCCGAGCACATCGTCTGTGTTCGGGACGTGCTGTCACCGACCTCGGAGAGCTTCTTGCCAATGTTTGTCTCCATCTCCACCATGCGGCGTTGCGTGAACTCGTTTCCTGAGTCCACCTTCTTGGCCAAAGTTGTCTGCGTTTGTGCGACACCCTGGAGCACGGCATGTGATTCGTGGGTCTGCTTCAGGAGATCCTGCTGTGTGGTGTCCAACTTCTTCAGCATGGCAGCGGAGGAGGTGTTCACTGTGTCCAGGAGAGCGCTCTTGGTGTTGTCGCTGGCGCTGTCGATGTTCTCAACCAGGCCCGAATATGATTCCACCATGCGGTCTACGATGCTCTTCTGCGTGTCCATCTTCTGCATGACTGTCTCTTGCGAGGAGTCGAGCTTGTGAAGGAGCACTTGGCAGGCGTTCACGGTCTGAAGAAGAGAAACCTGGGAGAAGTCCATGCGCTGAGAGATGGCCTCCTGCGTGGTCTCGAGTTGCCTTTGCACGTTCTCTTCCAGAACCTCTGCTGTTCTTGAAGGCATGTTGAAACATGATAAAAATTGGAATTGCAGCTGTTCCTGCGAATTACTATAGTGGCAAAGCATGCCACGAGGACTATGCCACTATGAGATCTACAACCGCCGAGTGACCTGCAGTCGGCTCATCATCATATCCTGGAACGGCACCATGACGCGGTTCATGACGGTCATCAACTGCTCCTCGACGGCAGCAGGGTCCATGCCAATCATCCCCCCTGCACCTGCCACTGGTGGAGTCGCCATACCGGAGTACATCCCAGGCAAGGAGCCAGCCAAGTTCTTGCCAACCATGCGCTCCTTGTTGGCCTCGAGGAGCTTCTTGAAGGGGTCTTCCTTCTCAATGTTGCCGCCTGTGTCCTGGCCCATGTTCATCTTCTCGG